AGCGGGGGGGGGGGGGCGCATGGCCTCTATTTTTCAGGGGGGGTTCGGGTACGGGTTGGGGGTCGGGTCTATGCGTACTGCATTCTCGAATTAATTGTCCCCTCACTATAGCTACTATCTATGCGCTGTATTTTTCTGTGGCGGTGGAAGACTATTCGCTCCACTTGAAAACAACGCCCCCTGCGCGAATTCTCCCCATAGAAAAGCTAGTCCGCACACCCAGAGACACTAACCTCTAGCTGCTGTACCTCTCTCCACCTTCACCTCTCTCCACCCTCACATGCCTACCCTTGCCCTGCCAGCCACTGCCCCCCTGAAGCCCAAGACGGCGCACCGCGCGGCCTGCAAGCGCATCATCGAGGCAGGCAAGACCCCGACGCGCGCCGGCGTCAACTTCACCGCGGCCGAGCGCGGCAAGAACAAGTCCACCAACGAGGGCAAGGCCGACCGCGGTGAGGCTGTGTGACGTTGCCCGTTATTGCTGTTGCTCTCGTTGTCCGTTGGTGTTGTTGTCGCTGTCGCTTTCATTGTCTCTCGATGTTGTAGAGGTGTTTCTAGCGATCTTGTTCGATTGGATGCTCCAATACCAAATGTTGGCAGCGATTGCCCACGAATGTTTGGGGGGTGATGCCGGTGTGGAGCATTGTTGTTGTTGCTGGCGGTATTCCTCTTGTTGTTTAAAATCGATCTTGCGTGGCCACTGCGATAGCATTGCTTTGTGTTGGCGCCGATCGTTTGCTTTCCGTCCCCACTCCGCCCAAAAGCCCCGCCCCCGCCCCCCTCTGCCCCAACGCTAAAAGCTGGCAGCGATTGCTCGCGAATCTTATGAAGGGATACGAGCGTGTGGTCGATATCACCTTGTGGTGCCGGGCTGACACCTCCGTCCCTCGCTCGCCCACCTACCCGACGAGGCCCCGGAGTGTCAATGCTGTGCTCAATGCCGCCCGATTCCTCTCCGTCCTTTTTACGAAACATCGGGCTCCAGGATCTCACCCTTTCCTCCCTCCCTCTCTACCCTATTTCCCTCTCTTCCCCCCCCCCGCCACTACCCCCGCGCAGGGAAGGCAGATCTCCAGGAAGGCCAGAAGGCAGCACGCGGTACCATTTCCGGTAGCACCCGGAAGAGGAAGGGCGAAGGAGTTAGGAGTGGGGTTGTCGACCAAGGGCCTTGTTCAAAATCGATCCTTCGGAATGTTCCTTCCATGAGGCTAGCTCGTGTTGGCGCCAATCGTTTGCAATCTGGTCATCCCCGCCCGCCTGCCCCGCCCCCCTCTGCCCCAACGTTAAAAGTTGGCAGCGAGTGCTCGCGAATCGCTTTTCCGGCGGTCTCAAGTCGAATGCTCAACCGCAGTCGATTATCATCCTGTTTTGCCCGGCTGACACCCCCGTCGTCTTGATGCCACCTCCGTCGCTGTCGCATGCTGTTGCTGCTGCTTCGGTTGCTGCTGTTGCTGCTGTTGCTGCTGTTGCTGCTGCTGCTGCTGCTGCTGCTGCTGCTGTTTCTGCTTAACGCTGATCGAAGCAGGGAAGAAGGGAGGTAAGCGAGGTCTGGCTTGCTTCGCTGGTGGTGGTTTTTTGCAGTCGTCGTTGTCGCTGTTTCGTCTTGGTGCTGCTGACCGATGGTGTTGCTGTCGATGGATGCGCGCCGTCTTGTTCGTTTTTTGTATCCCCCTGCTGCTGAAAGTTGTTTTTGGCTTTTTGGTGTCCCGATGTCGTTGTGTCGCTTTTATTCTGTCATAATCCCCCGTGCCTTCCCCCATGATTCTCTCTGCCCCCTAAACTGATAACAGATGTCCAACAGCGAAAGAACAAGGGCCGTGGCGGGGAGACGGCCCACGAGCGCGGCGGTGGGAGCAAGAAGGCGGACGTTACCCTGTCAAGGGTCACTCAGGTAGACAAGGTGACCCCGGAGCAGGCAAGGTTCAACCACTATCGGTGTTCTTTCGTCGACCCGAGCACAGGGGCGAATGCGGCGAGATCAAGCTGTGGGACTAGAGAGTCCTCAAGGACCTTAGGCCCAGCGGCAAGGGTGAGTGGATTGCCTGCTTGGATACCCACCAGCCCAGGAAGAACGGAGTGCGGGTGCACTGTGCGGCCTTCGAGCCGTGGTGGAAGACCGGGAAGGCGGTCGACGACGGGGAGTGCCTGGTCGGAAAGCAGGGGGTCAAGTACCTGTCGGCCAAACCTGCTTCCGCTACCGTGACCTGCCACCAGACCGCATACAAAAAGCTTTTGGCTGAATAGCGAGACGTAGACGGGCGGGGGGCGACGAGTTGGCGTGTAATTTACGGATTTTTTCTGTATTGACGTGCTCTGGTGTGTCACAGTGGGCGTAAGCTCGAGCCGAGAAACATAATCTGGAAGCAGTGTCACCCTACGGAGATATTCGTCAACCTCGGTCAATCCGGAAAAAGGAGTCCGTCCGGGAGTATATCTTGCACCGCGCTGACCATTTCGCGCGAAGGTCCAGCTTGGCAAGCACCAACACCCGCTCCTCGGCCGTTTTGAGCTGCTTGAGGTAATTTCGTTGTTCCTTCGTTTTCTTTGCCTTCGATGCCTCCCTTTTTATGAGCCTCTGCAACGACTGGAGCTCGTCCCTGACGGGACCACCGTTGTGGCTAGCGCCGTATGTTTCCATCCACTGAAGCCTGACCTTCCCTACATTCTTGTTCAGATACCTGGGGTTCAATTTTCTCAAGGCTTCAATAACTTCATCTGTTTTCTCGATTTCTTCCAGCCATCTCGCACACGTTACGATAGTTTGGTCCATCTTGGGAAGAAACACTTGCTCTGCCTACTTCATGCCATACAAAATAAACCAACTTGTCGACAAAAAAGGCTACTACGTCTCTGCCACCACCTTGTTTTCATCCTTCTTTTTCTTCGCAAGCCCCCTTCCCAAGCCACCTCGGGCACGGTTACATTTCAAGCACTTTACGTCGACGTTTCCTGGCGTGTGAGGTAGGGCGCAGTCGAGACGATCAAGCGTCGGCTGGCGTTCGCTGTACACGGCCCAGACGAGCTCGATCGTACATGAGTTGCATCTTCCACCGTAGGAGTTCAAAAGCGCTTGGGCGAGGGCGTTATTGTGTTGATTGCCTTCCCCTTCGTCCAGTCTCCCGCCCGTAACATCGGCGCGCAGATAGCTCGAAACCTTCCTGGTCGCCCACGATCTCCTGGCGTGCTCGGACATGTCACTAACGCTCCGATGGATGTCGTCGAGGATCACGACGTTTAAGGGCCCCGTCGCTCGGCTGATGGCTGTGTATAGCCAGTAAACGTCTGAAAACCGGTGTCGAGCCTGGTGAATCACCAATTTTCCGTCCACTGTGCGACCTTGAACCGCATGCACCGTGCACGAGCCCGGGGGGTCAAACAGGATATCTGCCGCAGCGCGACTCAGGATGGTCTCTTCGAGGGTGGCGCCGCCATCGAAGGTACTTTGCACGACAACGGAATCATCAGACGAGCGGACGATGTGGTAGGCGTGGTTCTTGTGCACCTTGCCTACTTTCCCGAGGTCTCGATACTGAGCACCCACCACCCCGCTTTGTCCCAGCGCGTCCCACCCCCCGGCCTCGTTGCATCTCGTCAAACCCCGGACAGCATGGAACCTCGGACAATCCCTGGTATAAGCGAGGTGGAAATCGGAAACGTGTGGATCGCATCCTGCCGGTCCGATCTCGCCAAACCTCTCCAGGGCTCGGATCTGCGCTTTGGCGCTGTTGTTTGCCGCATCCAAGATGTACAACAGACTATCGTCCACTTCGACCTGTTCGTCGATCGTCCTGACCCGCTTGCGTGCGAACAGGTGAAAGCAGATGGGAAATGATCGCTCTAGAACGACTTGCCTGTCGACGTTGTCCACGCTGATACTCAGGCCACTACCCTCACGAGCGGGTTGCAGCTGGTGCGTCTCGTACGTTCCGATGACGTGGACGCCTTTGCTGTGAGCCGCGGCGAGAATCATGCTGAGCGCATGCAGAGACATGTACGCGGCCTCCTCGATTTTGACAACGTCCACTCTCGGGATGTGTATCGAGCCCACAGTCTTCCTGACGCGCGTGTCGTCGCCGATGTAAAACCCAAGCTGATGATCGGCAGTCTTCACGCTCCACCCGGGGGGCAGGTCGGTGTGCGACGTGCGAAGGCTGTTGGTGGGTGTCAGCACAAGATCGGTCTCGAAGACGGCTTTCGCAGCATGGAGCGTGCAGTAGCTTTTCCCGGCTCCACCGTGTTTTCCCGTGACCGCACAAACGACCCTGTCCTCCTGCGACATCAGCTCGCGGAGTAGTTGCTCAAGAGATGCTGGTGACTCTGCCGAGCAGATGTCCGGCCACATCTTCCTTTTGTCGTCCTTGCCGACAGATCGCCAGGCTACATGCGCGGCTCCCATGGTACCGAGGCTATCCCCGATGCCGCCCCATAGTGGGACGACACGCAGCGCTCTCTCCCGCGGGCAGGGAATGGTTCTCATGGCGGAGGCAGATCATCGAGGGCCAACTTCTCTTCGATGCCAGCAAAGACGCGATCGGAAGACGCTGCGTTCTTGAGGGCTGGCTCGAACTTGAGAGTGCCGGGCGTTTTGAGTTCGCCGCTGAAAAAATGCTCGTATCGGTGCCTTGCTTCCGCCTGGACCTCTGGAAGTCCCCTCAAGAACACAGCGTCGCACTGGTAGCTGAAGGCAGAGCCCCCACACGCCTCGAGCATGTTCCGCACCTCCAACACACGCAGGCGCGTTTCGTCGAGGATGAGCGCCCAGAGCCCAGAACCCGTCCCGGTACCAAACCCGGCTAGCCTCGAAACTAAGGTAGGCATCTCCGCTATCGAGCTTCTCGATGCCAAGCTCCCCATCGGTACCATTCTTCCGCAGCTCCGACTTGATGCGATTAACTTCGCCGAGAATGGGCACGATCTTACCCCCGACGGCCATGGCCTCCTCGCTGGTAGTGACCATGACGGCATTGATCCTGTCGGCGTGCCTCTGCTGTAACAAGCCACTCGTGCGAACGAATAGACCCTTCTCGAACCTGCGAGCAGCGTCCACGTCCCGGAGTAGGGACTCCCCTAGATCCCGGGCCAGCAGATCGTGCACGAGACCGGGTATGTGGCACTTTTGAACCGTCCTCGCAGGTCGCACAAAGTGGGTTACGCGCTGTGGGGCGGGGGTTTCAGTCAGCGCCAAATGTCGTTTGTGTTCCGACCAAAGACTGGCGTTACGTCCGCGTTCAGGATCACGTCGGGATCGCCACCCGCTTCCAGGCGGACGACGTACAACGTCCTATCCTCGATGTCGTGGCCGTCGAATGCCTGCACCTCGTCCGTGTGGGTGTACGCCGGCAGATCATCCATGCTCAGCATTGCCACCGTGTGCGTGCCGTTGCGCGCCGTTGATGTCGCACTGCCAGTCCCCTGGTCCGTGGGTTGTGCCCGACGCGTCCGCTGCCCCGACGATGGGTCCCCTCCAACACACCTCGAGTAGCACGAGAAGAGACGGGCTATACTCACTCGAGACACGAAAATCCATCACACCACGAATGAGCTTGCGCCCCAGCGTGCCGTGCAGCTCGATCAGACGAGTAGCTTCGTCGCATTCGAGCACATCTGGATCCAGTCCGCCCATGCGCGCGCCGCACCAGGTTCGAATGATGATATCGTGCACCGGCAACGACAACGAATCCCAGTGGCTGTAGCTGGTCAGTTTGCCCGTACAAGTCACGCCACCGAGGTGGAGGTGGAGCATGAGCTCGTCCAACGCCGTACCGGGAGGTGCGTACCAGTTCTTCTTGCTGTCTGCCTTGTCATCGGTTCCTCTCCGCCGCTTACGAGCGGTCTGCTGGTCCGTCTCCATCTGGCTCGAGGAGAGGATTGCCTCCGCCATGTCCGCGCATCGACCAAAGGTTCTGGTGTCACCATCCGATTTCTCCTCTCCCTTCCCCCTCTTCGGCCGCCTCGGCAATACGGCGAAAGAGACGCCTCGTGCGCACGCACGCAGTGCTCGACCGCCACATCCTGAGATGGACCGACGGCTCCTTCGCGAGCGCCGGTGAAGCGATCCTACCAAGGGCCATCGAGTACCAAGCGGTACACGTGGCCCTCGCGAACCCCGACGTGAAGCGCTCGATCGAGGACGGAGGCTCGTCGTCTGACCCTTGGCACCGACAACCTCGGCCCCGGAGCCCCTGTGCAACCACACGACGACTGACACTTTGGTGGTCTTGAGCCACTTCTCAAGATGGCGGACAGTAACGGCCGGTATACATTCCTCGCCCGAAAACCGCGCCGAGAACTCTGTTGAACCGACGCCCCTCTCGAGCATTATCGAGTAGAGGTTGCGGAAATAGTTTCCCCCACCCAGGGCGTTCGGCGGTGCACGCTTGACACCCTTCTTCGACCGTTCCCCGGCACGAGAATCCATGGGCGTACCGGTCAGCGGGTCTACGGCACGGAACCCAAATCTCCGTCGATCGCGTACAAATGGATCGACCCGACAGTCTCGCCACGAATCTGCGACCAGGACCGCCAGACAGGCGCCCGGGAGACGCTCCTTCCAAGTAGTTCCAAACTCGGTCAAGGGATCGCATTTCACGAGTCGGTGGCCGAAGGATGCGATATTGCGCTGTCTGAAGCGTGGATCCTCCGATGAGACACCGGCGCGAACCTGCAGACTCACGAGAGATGCAGTGATGCCGTGCTGGTTGACGTCGATCCTTCGGCCCCGTGATCCCCAGCATAGGATGACTCGTCAGGTCTCGTCCGCGGCGGACACCACGAGCTGTCCGTGGCCGCCGCCCTGGACGTCGACGAGGGCCGCCCGCCAGGCGTCGGCGTCGCGCGGGTGCACCAGGCCCCGTCGCAGCATCGTCCTCGCCCAGGCCTGGAAGTCTATAAGGTCGGGATCCCCGCCGAGCTGGTGCGAGTTGAACCAGCGGTGCCCCGGCCCCGCGGGGAGGCGGGGGAATGGCAGGCGAAGGCGGTACCCGGTCCTGAAGACCGCCTGGCGCCTGTAGGTCTGTCCCTCTCGGGGGCCCAGGTAGCGCCAGCCGTTACTCCTGTCGGGCAGGGGAGCGGCCTGGTCCACCTGCTCGGCGTAGCACCACCGGTACTCGGGCCGCCGAGCCGTGCCGCCGGCGTAGTAATTTGTTGTTTTGAAGTGTCGCCGGAGCATAGACTATAGACTTATTTATTTGAAAGTAGGACGACAAAAAATTCGGCGGTTGTGGACGAATCGTCAACCACGGCGAAAGATCCCTGTGTTCGTGGTGGTTGTGACGGCGGGGGCAAGGAGACTCGCTTCCATTGTTTCACGGACATTTTGAAGGAGGTGGCTCAAACATAAATAAATGTTGTGTTTCTTTGCCGGCTCTGACAGACGATGATGAGATGTCGAGTGTGTTTTTATTATTAGCATCGACGGCGCTAACCGGCTGACCAATTAAAAGACGTCAGTGCCAGCGGGTAAAAATCAAGGTCCCTGGAAGGGGGCCAAAATTCGAAAAATGCGCAATGCGCTTGATGCGAATGCCAATACGACTCTCTACATGTTCTTTCACGAAGACACACATCTCAGCTACACAAATGCCCTCGCCCGAACCTAGGAAGCCACTGATGCNACACATACACGGCCATAGCTCCACACATGCCCTCGTCCGAACCTAGGAAGCCACTGATGCAAAGGCGGAGGACAGCAAAAGGGATATTTCAACCCCAGCCGAAGCCAGGATATCGTGGTATGCTGCATCTCCCAA